ACCAGTAGTGGCCTCAGAAATATTTGACATACTGCCTTTTTGTACCACGTGTAAATTTAAGATACTTTTGAATAAACTTTCTGACGAATAGGTCAACTGTATATACCACAACCAGTTGCTTTGATCGACTTCTATTGAATCATAGTTTACGTCTGAAAATAAACCGGACATAATCCAATTTATCCCGGCAAAGAAAGGCCCCAGAACAAGGCTATAGGTGTCCTACAGCAGAGAAAGTTTGTTTGAGGGATTATAAGTTGTTTTGAAAATCGTTGAAACACCCGCTAGTCTTCGAACGGGGTCATTGCACGTATAAAACTCATTATATTTGTATTTGATGTATACAAGTAACTGTATGCCACCCAATAATCTATTTTCGAGCGTTGAAAACTTTAAATAATTTTTTTTTTTGAAACGACAAATTTCGCATGATTATTGTATTAAGTTACTTGGCAATCAATCATTTTTCGAGACAGAGGTGAATTTGTATGGTCGCAGAACACAAGTGTTTCCGTACTTATACATGTCTTCGTAGAGACATTTCGGAAGCTAAATATCTATTTATGCTAGTTTTAACAAACAATGTTTCGAAATCGCAGATGATTTGAAGTAGTACCAATTCAATTTGACTCATAATCAACAGACTTGCTTATGCTAAGCCAGTCCAACTGAATCTGATGACACTGAATCATTGTGGTAGCGAAAAATTTGGAAAATGAGATTTTATGCTTTTTAAATGTTACATGACATATGCATCACGAAAAACGATGTCACTCATTTCCTCGGGTCTGTCTGTCGGTCAGTTGGTCGTCCTGTCTGTCCACTAATCCTTGAAAAGTTCTTCTCCGTTTTTTGACACTTCAAAAGCTCCAGATTATTTTCAGAGAGATTAAGAGATGGGGGTGGATATATCTCATTTTTTGGCGTTAACATACGCGTCTAGCCCCGGTGATTCTACGCACCTATTAGTTATATTTCACACAACAGATTCCTCCGTAAATTGGCCCTTAGGACAGAGGGATAAAGACATATTTTCAACGCACACGTAGCACGCAACGCAACGTAGAGGAATATACCTGTGTCGGTGTCCGACCGCTGGCTGGCTGAAGAGGGTCAGTCATAGCAACGTTGCTAGATCGCGACGTTGTCACATAGGAGAGGACTATGGACTAATTGTATGAGCCTGTTTGACTGACTTGATCCATTAATTTGTTTTGATAGACTAGATCGTTGCTAACCTATCCTGTTATCTTTCTTCCCTATATAATTTGTAAAGTTCTGCTCAGTTTGAAATTGTAAATTTTGGCGTAACGTTACTACCATTGCAAGGAGGAAAAAGCTTTTGGACACAAAATATGAGGTCGTCCTCGATCTTCACTCTTTCTTCTACAATAAGTAAAACACTTTAATATCTATCCACATGTTAAGGATACATATGTTCAATTCACCAAATAAAAGAGTAAAGTAATATAGGGTATATAAGGATAAAAAAATGAGACAAAGACCTGAACAAATCCTAACAGGTATAACCATATCGCTATAATTATTAAATACCAATTCAGGCAAAGCATAAATGCTTTTTCGCACAGCCTTCTTAAAATTTATTTTATTCAACGTTTTACAACTGGCTGGTAGCAAATTGAAAAATTTTACTCAGTGATTGGCTCCATATCTAGTTTTTACAAGTCTCGTATATTCTGGGGCTATATCACTGATTTTTGGTATTATATCTGTGAGTTTCTCCTGGTGTTGTATACCCGGCCTAGTGCTTCTTAACATATAGCAGACACTCTAAGATACATATGCTAGGGACCGTCAAGATTTTCAAGTCTATAAAGGCTTGCTTGCAACATTCCCGGAAATTTGAATTTGCAATAACTGTCGCGTAACTGAAAGTATGCACTTCGACACTGAATTATTTAGATTTCTGATTAAATATGCGACTCTGAATGGCTTACTCGTTAATATTTTTTAAAAATTCATGATACTCTTTTTTGATCAACTGCTTCTTGCAAACATATAGCAAGCCATCTTTTTTTCTTTGACACCTTCCTCCTTTTGGACTGGTTAATCGACATTTCCTCAAACGTTTTTGCTTCAAAGCTTGTGTTATAAAATATACTTTGTGGGGAATCTTTTCCAACATGATGTATTTTAATGTTATTCCATTTAATTTTTTCATTTTTGGTGTTTTTGGAAAATTGTTTTTCTGCTTGACTGTTTAATGTTTTTATATCATAAAAGTCACTTTGTTGGACTTCGTTAGCAACATAAGGTGTGCCATTTTTTTTGCAAGGGCGATTATGGGTATCTATTTTCTTCTCTTCTCGTACAGCCGTTTTATTACGGAGATGTTCTTCATAATTTTCTTGAACACCTTCCTTTTCAGCTATCGACGAATTCTTATATGTTTCACATAGACTGCATTGGTCTTTTTTGGGGGTATGAAAGCCTATATTATATTCAAAGTTAAATATTTTGGCATATTGGTGATATTTAGCTTGCACATCTCTACGCAGAGTTTGTATAATGTATTCAAATTAAAATTCCACTCGAAGTACCTTTTCTTTTCTTCGGGCCTTTAAGTAATGCGATTCCACTATCGGTATGGATTCAATGTGATTTCGGATCATTCGCTATGCGATATAAGGGTTTTGGCGCAGCATTTATCTAGTGTCAAGTCAAGTGACAAGTCTTGCTCTTTTAATATAAGTGTTGCACCGAAGGATAATAGTATCTTAACAGCAAAATTATATCATTTATATTGAATTTTGAGTTAGGATAGTTTTGCTCATACACCAGTAGCCATAAAATGTAGTGTTTTATCCACTTCTCTCAAAAAAAAATATTCTCGGACGATACTATTGCACTCACACTGCGATATGTTAGCCTGTTTGGAAGATAGATTTACAATATAAGTGTAAGGGCCGATTTCACCAACATTAATATTATGGACCAATGGGAAAATACCTTATCGAAATGCAATTTGACAGAAGCTGTCAAAGATCTCTGAATATTAGTGATTTCTATTGAAATATTGAATAAAATCGTGAAAATTCGACTGTATTATAAACAAGACCACTTTTTGATTCCAACTTGATGCTTTTGTACAGAAAAAACAGGACAACTTTCATGTATTTTGATATATGTTATAAGTTTACATTTAACAATCCGTTAACCCCTTCAGTGAATGGGAATGCGGCAAATAATAGGTCGATTTTCTAGTTGTTAAATTTGGCAGCAGATTTGGACGTTTGTTAATGCATGGCACTCTTGAATTTACCAACTTCAATATACTGAAAGTTATCATTACATACCTGTTGAATAGTGTTGTTTTGTCTGTATTTTGCAAGAAAATAGAATATAAAATACATTCCATATAATTCCTCATATTCCTTTACATCATAATAGTAATCATTTATTAATTTATGGGTTAATGAATTTCCTCAAAGCAATAAAAACATTATGTCCTCTCCATCCTAAAACACAGATAATATGTGTAAGACGTGTCAATCCCTACATCTCCCTGATGCATAATGCAATTACTATGGACATAGACAAAAAAATATGAAAAATGTTTCACAAATAATGTCTTTTAAGTCCAAAAAACCATAAAAACTATTAATGTTTTTCTTTTTGACTGGCGGGGATATCTATCTGTCACTCGCAGGGTTGCTAAGTCTGACGACTTTCACGTCCCGTGGTGGAGGGTGCGAAATGAATCTTTTACATTTGCTGGTTTTGAATTTTTTTCGTGAAAATTTACTAGGTATCATGATTATAAGCATCTTTGGTAGATTGTTCGATCCGGAATGGGAAAGATCTCCTATTTATGAAAATATTTTTGGTATCATCTAACCGTTGCAATCAGTGCACAAACACTGTGACATATGATTTATAGCATAACCCGCTGCCCTATTAATACAAATTTAACATACAGGTCGCCTAGCCGTGGGGATGCAGTGGTCGGGATGAATATCACGGCAGCAACTGATGATTTGGGCATGTCTGGTAACAACGTATGAAGTGAAACTCGCTAACTTCACAAATTTGAAGATTTTGTACAATTTCTTTGAAAATGATGAAAGATATGTCTGACTTGGCAGATTTTGGCTGGGAAAATATGGCAAACTTGTAGTTTTTTTTTTGCAGGTTTTCGGTTTGCTGGTAGCTTTAAGGCGTATATTTGGGAATTTCTTAATCGCTGCGAATATAGTGTGGATGTTTGTTCAGTTCCTGAACAACGAAAAATATTCAACTTTATAGATGTATGGATATCAAAAAACCTGAATGGTTTTGTGGGAATATCAATCTAAGGTGCCATAATAGTTCTGATGAACGGCAAGTAAATGAATGGATGTTTGGAAACGAGCAATATCTTTTGGTAGAGCCTGTCATCAAGTAGGTGCTTAATGGCTATCTGCAAGAGGTTTATAGCAAAAAACACCCAGTATCACATATCAATTGAAGAAAATAATATAAACATGAATAAAAATCAACAACACTAATTAAAACATGAAGTTCAAAAATCAAACAAGCTCATTCGCTGTATCTGACGGTCTGTTACCCTATAGGTGGAGAATAACGGACTGTTGTTGGTGAAATTGGCCCTAAGTGTAGTTTTTTCAATGATATGTGATGCTGTACCCAATCGAATCCCTTCGTCAGGTCATAAAAGTCAGCCAATACAAGGATGTTATCTTCCAGTGCAGGGTTAACTCATTTATGGCTTGTTTAGTTGATGAATTGAGACGGTATCCAAACTGGGACCAAGGAAATAGGTTTTTAGATCAAAGCAGTGAGTAATTTAGTTTCAATTTTGTTTGCTAAAAACGGAATCATTTTCTAGGCCTATAGTTGGTTGCATCGAAATACTGAGTCAGCCCACTTGGCTCTATTTTTTCTGTTCTGATCGACTGTTACCCTATACGATTTGACTGGACTATAACCATCGGCGTCCCGGCGTTAAGCGTCGCGCCGCGTCAACCCATACGTCGGCGGCCGCATGAAGCGTCGCTAGGTCCCTGCACAGCTGTTGGTTGTTGGCTGACGCTGAGCCAACACGAGGCTAATTTTAGTCCACTGACGGCAGTGGTAGTGGTAAAGTGGCAGTAGTTCGGTGACGGTTGACGGTATCAGTTGCTATAATCGACATAGACCACGCGGTTGGTAGTTTGTGCGCGACATTTATGTTCGATTCGAGACGTTCTTAATGCGAGATCGGAGGAGCACCTTCGCGAAGGAGTACATCAACAACATCGTTAACCCTCTAGGAACGAGACCCCAAAGGCCCACTACGACTGAGGCCCACAAACAGGAAGAACGAGCCGTACAGGCCACCGAAGACCATACTGTAAGGATCAACCACTTGTGGATACATTTCTCCACCAAAATTTCTCCTAGATCATGCTCCAACGCAGTCCTTGAGCAGCACCTAATATGTCGCGACAATCTCTGTTTTTGAGGTGCCTATTCCAATTGCAGATCCCGAAAAAGTCTTTAAATAGCGTCCGATATGTTGCGACAGTCACCGTTACAGAGATACCTTCCACCACAACCAACTCGTCCTGTCTTGTTTCAAAGTAGTCCTTATATAGAGCTGGGTATGTGGGGATAGTCGCCGTTGCCCGTCGCACCAAAAACTCTTCTCAATCTTGTTCTAAACAAGCCCTTAATTAGAGTCCGATATGTCGCGACAGTCACCGTTACAGAGATGTCTGTTCCACTTGTGGATGCCTTCCACCACTACCAACTCGTCTTGTCTTGTTCCAAAGCAGTTCTTAGATAGAGCTGGGTATGTCGTTAGAGTCACCGTTGTCTGTCGCACTTGTGAATACCAACTCCACCTAAACTTTTCTCAATCTTGTTCTAAAGTAGCCCTGAAGTAGCGCCCCATATCTCCGGGACAGTTACCGTTATTGAGGTGTCTTTTCCATTTTTAATACTTTCCTCCCGAAACAGCCCTTAAATAATGCCCGATATACCGTGATATTCACCGTAACTGAGGTGCATATCCCACACGTGGAAACCTTCCTAACACAGCGAACTTTTCTCACAGCTCATAATCAACGCCTCATTTGTCGTTATTAAAGGTGTAGATTAAACAGCCTTCATCTCGGTAAAAGAGCATTAGAGGAACCATGTTCATAGAAACCTTTGGTGCTACTTTTAACGTCTCAGCAATATTGGAGCCTTCAAGCAAACTCGAAAAACCTTCACTTGAATGTTGAAAACGATCAAATTGCTTATGACTACGCCATCATTTGATCTATTTTCAAAACCTAAGCCCCACAAGGCTATTGCTGTATTAAAATGGCGTCAAGTGGGGTGACTCTACAGTTGCTACGCAAATTAAACGGATCAAGTCAGTCAAACAGGCCCATACAACTAGTCCATAGACATTATTTGCCTGTCCTACCGGTAGCTACCGTCCATCTGGCAACGTGACCCCTTTAGATATTGTCAGACGCGGCAGCGCCCACGGAAACACTACCGCAGTACGCAGTACACAATCAAGCAGTCCGTTACGCCAGGCGCTGTGGCCACATAGCAAAAGGAGACGCGTATCGGAAACGTTTCTCTACCATTTTACAAGATATCTTTTTAAGCTTTTTTTTCATATTTTTTTTGGACATCCTCGTAATTTTAGGCGTAGTAGAGAAACTGCTTTGATGATACCAAAAATATTCAGGAATACCAGACGTTTCTCAACCCTAATCATTTGAGAACGTAGTCAAAACATCTCATATCATTTTTTCATCTCAATACGCTCTGTGCCAATAACAAGTACTGACTCAATTTCACCGACTAATCATATTTGTTTTTTTGTTACCTACTACTGATCCTATCCCAATTAATATACAGACGTGCTTTTGGGTTACAATTATATTCTTCCACGTAATTCAATACTTGAATATATACAAACATGTTTATGACAAATGGTGAATCATCTGGATTTATCATATCATGTCTGGAAAGACGTAAATAATAACAAAAACAAAACAAAATGTCGTTTTAAACGGCATCCGTTGGTTTGATGACTGAATTCTCAGGATTACGGCGATTGATTATTCGAAAATTAGGCGTTGAACAATTACAAAAATTTGGGTTTTGGTAAAATTCATTGGAGCAGCTTGGCTAAAATATTTACAATGTTGCTATTTCAGGTTGTACCGGAAGTACAAACCAACTAGCTTATTTTTAATGGACAATCCTGTATATTATTCAATTTTTGGACTCTGGACATATTTCCTGTATGTCATCCTATACTAGCCTAATATTTTTTGAGTTATCTCAAATATTGTTTAAAAGTAACAAATGCAGGCTGACAAGTAATCATCAATATTTATCGTATTTGTGTATTTGCGATACGATTTGTAGCAGTTTGCTTAAAGGAGGGGCTTAGATTAGTAATAATTCGTTCTATATTTAGATAAGTAGTAATACAGGGTGGTTAAAAAGGGGGATGCAGTTCAAAATCTTAGAAAACTACAAAAGTCAATTTTTTCAAAGGAATAAGGTTGTTTACCTCTCAAATAAGTCGTTTCAGAGATATTTAGGAAGATCCGTTTTTCGATTCCAATATTGCACAGCGCGGCCTTTAATGATCAGTTAAATCTCTGTTGGCCATGGTCTACTAAGGGTCACTGATGCCGCGTCTCTTTAGCAACGTTCTGTTATTTCTATCTATCTCTATTGGCATTCGGCTCTGAATCAGATCCCGGGCCTGGCAGAGATGTCCAGAAAGATGCTTCCTCATTTCAGGATATTGCTCCAAAATCTTCTGTTTTCCGTGTAAGGCTGAGATCACACCGGAGGTGGTAAACTAACCAGCACGAGGAAAACTAGATACCTTGGAGAGTACCCAGCTAACGCATAATTCACCTACGTATTGGTTCACACAGTGTGTTAAGAGATACGCTAGTCACTTTGATTGTAAACCAATAAGATTGTTTTTTATTTACACGCTTTCATTAGCTTGACCTGTATGTATGTTTCAAAGTAATTTCAAGAAGTCTGATTAACTTGAAAATTTGTACATGGGGTCCAGGGCCGCTTGAAATATAAGAATCTTGGAAAAAAATCAATTTTTAAAAACATTTAATTTTGAAATTGAGAAAAAAATGTTAGTTTTGAAAATTTGGAAAGTAATTGAAAAATTCGAAAATTTGGAAAATATTTTGAAGATTTGGGAATTCTGAGATTAAAAAAAAAGTGAAATACCAAAAATTGAAGCTCTTGACTATAAGTACTTTTGGTGTTGTTCTAAGATAAAAAATTCATAGGATGAATTATAGTTTAAAAAAACGAAAAAAACACGCTTTAATAGCCAATCGAACTAAAAAGTAAAAAATTATTTTCAAGTATAGGAGAGTTTGTGTTTTATAGTAAAAAAAGCGTGGGATGCGATTAACTATATTTTCATAATGACTTCAATTTTGTAAGCACCAACTAAAAAAATAACTGCAACATTTAATATCAAACACCCCACGCTTTTTTCCTTCAATTGTTTTTTTAATATCTAAATTGATATTATTCCAAATTAATTAGCCATTGTTGGACTTTCTAATCACAACACAAAACTCAAACTCCTATATTTGAAAATTATTTTCTACTTTCAAGTTCAATTTGAGGAATAATATATATTCAGTCTAAATGAAAAACGTAGTTGTTCTTCAAAGAAATTTATGTTTATTTGCACATAGTGTTGAATATTTTCGAAAAATTCTCAGATTCTGGGAAGCTTCTTGGGCTAATGCTTGACCCCTCTATTACTTGGAAAGTACCCCTCCTTTTGATGGAACTCTTACTCAATCTTACTAACGGGTGATTTTTTAAGAGGTATAGGATTTCATTTAAAAAAAAAACACAAAAAATTTGAAAAAACGATTAAATCTTTACTTGAGTCGATAGAACGGTCGATATAATTTAATGTTTAAAGATTATTTCATGTAAATGTTGGCCGCGGCTCCGCTTTAGATGGCCCATGCGCAAGGTCCAATTTTGGCACTCTCTCCAACATATCGGCCGGTATCTCACGAATAAATGCTTCAATATTGGCTTCCAGTGCGTCAATCGTTGCTGGTTTATCCCTGTAGACATTAGCCTTAACATGGCCCCACAAGAAATAGTCCCACGGCGTTAAATCACACGATCTAGGCGGCCAATTGACGGGCCCCAAACGTGAGATAAACTGTTCACCGAACTCGCCTCTCAATAGGGCCATTGTATCGTGTGCGGTGTGGCATGTGGCACCGTCTTGTTGAAACCACATGTCAGCCAAGTCCAGCTCTTCCATTTTTGGCAAAAAGTTTGTTATCATCGCACGGTAGCGCTCGCCATTCACACTTACGCTCCGGCCATTGTCGTCTTTGAAGAAGTACGGCCCGATGATGCCACCGGCCCATAATCCACACCAAACAGTGTTTTTTTTGGAATGCATTGGTAGCTCTTGCAATGCTTCTGGCTGGTCTTCACTCCAGATGCGGCAATTTTGCTTGTTAACGTACCCATTCAAACAGAAATGAGCTTCGTCGCTGAACACAATTTTTCGATAAAAATGTGGATCTTCCTCCAACTTTGCCAGCGCCCATTCACCAAATGAAAATTGATCCAGTGACGGTGGGACTAGGGGCAAAAAACAGAAGAGAATAAAAACCACTCTAAAACCCAGTTCGTCCTCAGACATAGCCGTTCCCGGGAATTTTTCTCAGGAGGCAAGGTGAAACCTTACCTTATCAGCCCAAAAATTTCTGAAGAGCAGGGCGCAGCACATTTTCTCAGGGGCAGCCAAAAATTGGATTTGCAAATGTTAGAAGGCAGACAGATTGTTAGGGAAGTGGGCAGGCCTGGGACTGGAGAAATTTATGTGCCAATTTGACTGACTGAATCCACTGCATTCTTGATAGCCAACTTATTTATATGAGGGGCTAACTTATGTCGAACATAATGTTTTACGAACTGATAACAGAGTGTAAAGTGCAGAGCTAACCTACGCCACTCCGTTTTTTTTTTTTTTAGTGTATTTAGAGTTATTTTTTTCTTGTTGCAGAAAGCCATGCTGATGCCTCCCACGGAGACAGAGCCCCTGGCGGGTCTGGGAGGTCTAAGCGTCTTAGGGGCCACGACCACGCTAAATGGCCCGGTGCAGAGCAAAGATACTACCTTTACAAAGCTGTTCGTTGGGGGGCTACCTTATCACACTAGCGATAAGTCACTTAGGGACCATTTTGCAGTATACGGTGATATTGAAGAGGCTGTGGTAATCACTGACAGGCAAACAGGGAAAAGCAGGGGATACGGATTTGTAAGTAATATTTTTATCAAATTTACCATGTCCTAATTTATCCCAGATAATTATGCTATTCGCTGACTGCAGAAATGACAGTACCGCCTAGTCCCATAATTATTCGGGACGCGGGACCGATCAATTCTTGGCAACTATTTCTTTTGACAACATCCTCCGGCTTGCTTTTAATTGTAATTGAATTAAATAAAATGAGTACATGAAAGCCTGTCTGTTGGTCTGTCTACTAATGCTTGGACTGTCTATAAAATCAGCCCAGTGGTGGCGGAAAAGGAAAAGGAAAAAACAAAAAACACTCAAAATTCGTTTTTTGACGTTCCAGAAACTCCTGATCATTTGCAGAAAACTGTTTGTAGGGGTTGAAAAATAGGTAGAGGCTATACCTCAATTTGTTGTTGTAAGTATATTCATTATAGACATATTTTATCCGGAAACAGGAAATGCTCAAAACCATTCGAACATAGGAAGGAAAATCAACTAATGTTATATAAAGATAAGCAAAAGAATAACAAGCAAAAAAATGTCGCAGATGGTACCTATTAAGTTAAAGCTGTTACAAATGGTTGAAAACTCTCGAATTCTACCTATCAAAAGTTCACATATTATACTCCCATCAACCAGAGTATACAAAAAGGCTGTTGTGTTCACGTAAACAAATTTTGCTCTTAAAATGTAGATATTTCAAACATTTTCTCTGAACATGCACGAACTTACTAAAATGTTGCACAGTGTGGGCACCAAACGGTGTCACCAACTTGCTGCGTGCATAACTTGTACGTAGAATTTTAAGAACTGAAGAAACAGTGGTACCTATATGGGCAGAGCAAGCAATATTTATCGATCATCGATTTACTGCTGACGCTTAAGGCTAACGTTTCCGAAGCAATATTCAAAAATTAAAATATTTTGTTTTCTTGTGAATGGTACAACTGTGCACTTATAGGCTTGTTGACTCGATCAACTTGGGACCATGAAGATATTATCATTATTTTTATTATAATATCGCTTAAGTAGTTGACTTTTTGTCTTTAAGAAGGTAACATGATTTTTATGACCTGATAATAACGTTTCGTGGGAAGTGCAAAGTCTACTTACTTGATAGTCATTTTTTTCTGATTTAAAACATATATGGTTTTTCATACTTATTTTTAGTATTTTAGCCAAAAATTTACAGTTTGTGAGTCGATTACTCACGTGTACTGAGTTCGAACGAGTTTGCATCTAGCCGGCTATCCAATCTGGTATAGTGCTGGAACACAAGGGCGGTTCAATAAGTACCCGCGTTAGAAATGAAGACACAATTTTTTCCAAAAAAAAATTCTTTTTATTTTTCAAAATAATCCCTTTTTAGAAAGATACACTTTTCCCAACGTTCCTGCCATTTTTCAACCCTCCCCAAAAAATACGATTTGTCGAACTCTCCAAAATACGCCTTTGTCTCGGCGATGACTTCCTCGTTTGAGCTAATTTTTCCCCGCGAGCCATTTCTTCATGTCAGGGCACAAGAAAAAGTCGCAGGAGGCCAGATAGGGTGCGCCAGCACTTCGTAACGCAATTCATGCAGTATTGCGGCGACAACACAATGTGCTGGTGCGTTATCGTGGTGAAACAGCACCTTCTTTTTCGTCAAATGTGGCCGTGTCTCCTTCAATTTTTTGTCGAATCGGTCCAAATAACTCACTATAGTATTTATTGTCCAGTGATCGTTCTTCCTCTTTCTAAAAAATCCACGAGGATGACGCCGTTCGCATCCCAAAAAATCGTCGCCATGACCTTTCCGGTCTTGGCCTTCTTTGGAGCAGGTTCACCGGGAGAAATCCATTGTTTTGACTGTTGCTTAGTTTCTGGTGTGTAATGATGAATCCAGGTTCCATCGACGGTGATAGCATTAACTTTCCTCAGGAACGCCCTCTGTCTTCAAACACGGGTACTTATTGAACCGCCCTCGTACATATGATTAAATGACACAAACTTAAAGTTAAAAACACAACTTTATTTGATAGCACTTTTCTGAGACACCGAGTTTCAAGCGAAATATTACATGAAAAACTTCATACTTGACTCTATAACTTCCTTCTAGAAGATCGTATAAAAGGTTGGAGGGAGAGTCAGTTTATAGCCGGTCAACCTGTACATCAATGCTCCTCTTTTCCATTTCATTACCCGACTACAGTAACATCAATGCAAATAATATTCGTCTTTTATGTAATATCTGAAACTTACGCTGTGGTTTTCATGCTTGTACAATTCCATGGAGTAGGAAATTATTATATTGTTTTGGATGTACTAGCCACACCACCACTGCTCACAACTCGCAACACACCAGCTGGCTGTTATGCTATCATCGACTACTGATGCTACATCTGCAGTAAGGAGTAATTTTAGCATATGTGGTTTCATTTCTCTAGGGGGGCATGAAACTCCATATTATTTTAAATATTCCTGATGTTTTTTTACTATCCTCGATTTTGCAATATGTACTCGTATTAACGATTTTCCAGTTTTCTAAAAACTCGTATTTTGCTCTTTCTCATATCCACAGTCAGATTTGGGCAGATTGAAGAAGACTTCTGACGTCTCTAAATTCTTATGTGTGTGTAAGTCGAAATGTACTATCGATTCACTCCATTGTCTCAGTTTCCACTCCAACCGGTGAGGGCGTATCATAATCGCGAAAAACTCAAAGCGATATATCGAATTCCTGGGACGTGACATGACATACATTTATACGAGGGTGAATCAAATATGAACCGGACTTTTCTGTGTGACGCGCCATAGGTGAATGGAATGGGGCGACGTCTTGGTATATGTGAGGTGGGGATGTCAGGAAGAAGGGAGTCAGTCGGTTTGGCGCGCCGACGTAGATGAGCTGTTAGCAGCATCGTTTCTGACCAAAAGTTGCACACGTCTGTTGCGCAACGCATTATCATAAAATTGTTGTCGCGGGAGGGCGTAGAACCTTCCGAAATTTTGCGTCGATTAACAGCACAGTTTGGCGACAAGACAATTTCAAGGATACAAGTATACGACTGGCAAAAAAAATTTCCATGGCGTGGCAAAAGCCTGGAGATGCAGCACCGCGAAAAGCCAAGACCAGTCTTTCTGCAGGGAAAGTTCTTGCTCTTGGGAAACTTGAACACCCGTCTGACAGTCTCTATTTGTCGCCATGTGACTATCACAAGTCTGGGCCACTTAAAAAAGACCTGGGACACTTTGACTACGACGAAGGTGTGGGAACATTCGTGCACATTTGACTACGGACACGACCAGATTCATTTTTTGATGAGGGAATTAACAAATTTCCGATACGATGGGAAAAATGCAACAATAAGAGAGGAGATTATGTAGAAAACTAAACTTGTATTTACTTGACCAATAAAATTGCTAAGACAAAAGTCCGGCTCATATCTGATTCACCCTCGTATAACGAAAAAACGTGTCGCTCACTGCCGTCCGACCCGTAATTTTTGGCCCCACTGAGCTCAAAAACTACTGCTTGGATTTTAGAGAAACTTTCATTAAAAATTTATTGCAATGCAAAGTATAAATAAGCTTTGTAGATTTTGTAAATCTGTCCGGTGGCTGCAGAATTAGTAACGCAAAAAAATTCATTTAAGAACGCGCCAATATTCGTTTTTCGAGTTATTCATTAAATTACGGCGTCCACGACTCTCTAGGGCTTAGAATATTTGTTGTTCTTGTTGCTATAATTTCAACTAGACTTAAATGAATGTGTGGGAAAACTGAGTTTTCCTACTTCATTCTATTTTTTATGCATTTCATCGAAATACGCTGGTGTCACTATAAATAGGAGCAGATATCAACTGGGAAGAGGTCAAATACTAACCCGGATCTTGATGGACCACTTTTTGGTCCATTTTTTAATCCGCTCCGCTCAAGTAGTTACAAAAAATTATTTTTCGCTCTATTTTTGTCTGATTTCTTGGAGCAGTCTGAAGAAGAAAAGTCTACAGTTACTTTTCGATTGCCAGGTATTTAAAGTTATATACAGGGTGTTCCATAATGACATGCGAATATTTAAGGGTGTGAACCTACATGAAAAATTAATGTTAATTTGCTTTATAAACTATGGTCCAAAAATGTTGCCTTACAACAACTCCTCGGGGTGTCGAAGGTTTAGGAAAAAAATGAAAATTAATTAATATTTTCAGATCCGCTTCAGATGTTTCACTGACATTTAGTAGGTAGTGAAAGTTAATAAAGTTGTATATTTTTCAATGCAAAAATATTATATATTATATATATTTTTTAACGTTAATTTTTCATGCAGATTGACACCCTTAAATATTCGCATATCATTAAGGAACACCCTGTACATTTTGAAGCGAGCCAAACTTGCCGAACGTTTGATTTTCGATACCATCTTCATTAAATTGAATCCGAAAATGTTTTGTATATAGCAAAGTGTATCGGCAGTCAATCTTTTACGAAAAGGTAGCGATAGGGGGTCATTTCCAATCCCAAGAAGAGTATGTTCTTATCCAATTACGCATTCCACCTGCTTTGTACTTAAGAGGGAGAGAGTTCAAGAGAAAATCCAAAAAGGGGCCGGTAAGATCCGGACTATTGTGCCTTGACCTTTTCTTTTGATATCTGATAAGTGCGGCCCACACACAAGTTAACTGCCGGTATACTTCGCTATAGACAAAGCATTGGTTTCGGCTTCAATTTAATGAGTATGGTATGTCTGCGAAAGTGAAAACTTCGCCAATTTTGGCCTAACAAACTAACTTAAAATTAGTGTTGAAACACTCCTCGCTTTAATTTAGATACCTGCCTAACTCAAAAATAATTGTATTTAACCGAGTTTTCAATCATTGTAGATGATAGGTTTTTTCAGACATTAAATGGCTCGTAGCTCGAAAACTACTAACTTCAGATAAAAGGTATCAACATAGCAGTTTCTTATGAAGAGGCCATCACAAAGTACGGATGTTTAAGATATGTAAGTCCAAAAACGAAAGCACCGTGTTTTCATA